CCCCAAAACCCCAAAACCCCAAAACCCCAAAACCCCAAAACCCCATATAATGTAAGGGTTATTGATAGTTATAGTTCTTTCATTTTCTTCTTCCTGTACTGTCTCCATGATTTCTTCTTGACGAATCATAGCTCGACGACCCTTGCTAGCTTGGCAAAGTCACTTCTCTGGTTAAGATTGAGTAAAATATTCTTTAATTTATCCCAGAAATCTGGAATTCACTCTAAAACATATGTTTCTCCTGAAGAGTAAGCATTTTCTAATCTAGTCTTGATTTTTGAGTTATGGACTAATCATTCTTCTCCAATAACGTCTCCGACCTTGACAAGACCTATTGCTCCAAGCTTTTTCGAGTGCATGATTACTTTCCCCATGACCACTATATAAGCTGCATTGATTGGTTCTCCTTCTTTATATAACAATTCAGAGTCTTTCAGGACTAGTAATGGCATTTGTAAGATCATTTCATTACACATATCTGTGCTTAAGTTCAAAAACAAGCTGTGATGCTTATTTTAAATTAAGAAGAGAGACATGCATGATGCCAGCGCTTTGTTCTTCATCCTCTCCCTTATCCTCTTCTTCATGGCTTTCATCTATCTGAAATCATGCTTTTATTAACTGTTGTTTTTCCTTATACGTTTCGCTGTTGAGTTGCATAAATTTCTCGACTCTTGCTTCATATTCTTCGAGCTCTGGTTTCTCACCAAAATCAAAGATCTGCTTGCCTTTGCTATCATCTGTGTCATAGATAGGCCTGCTTACATCGATGGTCTCATCAATGACTAGTCGAAACCGGCTATGGATCCTGTATAATTTCTGAAGGATTTTGACTGTAACTTCGTCCTTTTTAGGCGATTTAAATTCTGTCTTTTGGATTGGCTATAAGTTATCGATATTTATCCATCCAGAATTTAAAGGAATTGGGAGATAATTGAAACTCAAGAACAAAGACTTAGGCGGCAATTCTTACTCTCTTCAATGCCTTGATGTCCTGGGTTTTTGGATAGTTCGAATATGAGAAAGATTTGTTGGTTTTGTGCTTTGAAGAAGACCCTGAAGGAGTCAAGCCAAGTGGCTTTTGGCTGGCATTTTTGGGTTTATTGGTGGGATTTGAGATTTTAGAATTTTTGCGAAGTTTTTGGTTTGATTTTTGGGAAATTGGGGGTGAGTTCTTGCCTGTTGGAGCAGAATACTTGCTAACTGAAGCTTTACTAGACTTTGAAGAGATTGAAAACTTATTTTTCTTGACTGAACTTGAGGTAGTTGGAACTTCGGGGCCCATGATTAGCTTTTTCAAGTTTTTAAACTCCTCAACATCAGGAATGGCTTGCTCATTTTCTTCAATAATAGTCTCATCAACAACTTTACTAAGGGAAGGATTATGTTTATCTCTTCTCTTTTTCCATTCTTGTGATTCAGTAATCGGTAAATCTTCATCAATATCATCATCGATAGGGGGTCCTTCATTTAAGTCATTTCCCTTTCTAAAAGATTCTGTGAACTCAATTTCTTCAGGTATTTCTATACTGTCCCTCATTTCAATATATTATAAAAAAATTGGGGTTTTGGGGTTTTGGGGTTTTGGGGTTTTGGGG